GAGGTAGTGTTTGTGACCCTATTGACGGTGGTTTTGAGAAATTTAAAAGCTATGCAAAAGTTTTAAAACAACGAATTGTGCCTAATTTATAGAGATGTATTGGCAGCGGATTTTAACAAGTTCCGTCAGCATTTAAAAAAAAAAAAGACATTTTAATGTCTAGTAACTATTATTAGCACTGAAAAAGGTGTAAAGATAGCTACATTATTTCTGATTTGAGAATTCTTCTTTCAGGTCAGGAACACGTGTAATATGGTGGGTAACTTACGCTTATGCTTATATTTAGTATCTCGCAGAAGACATAGCTGGCGAAGTAGCGGAAGTGGGTCTCCTTGTAGTCGCTGGTGAAATAGTTGACCAGCACGCGAAGATGGGTCTTGCTCTTGTCCTTGCAAACAGCTATCTTGTGGAAATCGTCGCACAGGTGCTTAAGACGACCTCCCTCCCAAATCTTCCAGAGGAAGGCGGGCAAATAGAACACAAAAGACTCTAGGAGCAAGACCAGTACCACCCATTGGTAGTAGCGAATATAGCGGCGGTTCTCCGGGGCAACCTGGCGACCCACAACATCTGAAATAGGGACTCCCAGCTTTATAAAAAAAAAGTCTTTGAAGCGAATCTTGAAACTTACCCGGTCGGCACTCCAATAAGGCGTTAACGCGCCGAGAAGGCACCAAGGTGACATTGTCCTGCATATAGGCCCCGTAGATCCAGCAATAGGAGTGAATGTAGTCCATGGCGATGTCCACATCCTTCTGTTTCACGCACTGGATTGGATCGCCGAAATATTGCTTCGAGGAAAGCAGAAAAGTGCAGGCCAAAAGCAGCGCCACCGTGCATTTCGAATGCAGCGTGAAAATGGCATCGTAAATGTGTACTGACTTGAACTGCAGATACTTGGATAGTGGCTTAACAGCTGCATACATTTTTGAGTGCTTAATTCAATCAATTGTTTTGCTTAAACCAAGTTGTAAATGGAGCTTGTAAAATTTGGCGACTCTAAATAATTCCAAAAGCACGCGGCATCCTAACGGTGAACTACACTGTTGCCATCTCTTTCTTACTAACATAAAAGTGTTTCACAGCAGCCAGCTTGTTGTTGAATAATTAAGGTCACACTTTGGTTTACAGTAGAAAATGTACGAGGACTTATTTTTTAACAGTATGGAATTAATATTACAATATCTGATATTTCATTTATTTCAACCGGAATAACTTTTAATAATATTGATTTATTTATAATTTGGCTTATTTTCAATGATTATCCATAAAATGTACTTAATGTGGGAACAGTTTTTCTGTTGTCTTCCAAAACTCCAAAATTCAACTTCTCAGCTTTAAACCTACTCTTAATTTACCATTAAATCGAAAAAAGTCACCATTTCTGCGTTGGCCTTGGTTCGATTTAGTAAACGCCCATGGTTTATTAGTTCACTAAATGGGAATTTTTCCTTTGATGTGTTCCACTGTATATTGAAAATAGCGTTTTGTAGCAGTCAGCTTATTTCTTGCAATGCCTTGCCAATGGTATTTAAAATACCAGCATTTGCTCAAAACGCGTTAGCCCCTTCTCTTCACATGTGCACATGTTGAAGACCTTCGTGTTGACAATAACGAAACCTGCCGAAAATTTGACTTTTTATTAATTAAACCAAAATCTCGACTGCAGCTTGAACGGCAAGCGCACCAGGATGAAAGAACAGCTGTCTGCCAAGCAGCACGAGCGTAACGAGAAGAAGAAAAAGAAGCTGGCGGCGCTGGCCAATCTGATGGAGCTGAACGACCGTGATCGCTTGCACGAGGCGGAGTTGGCCAAAAAGCGGGATGCAGCAGAAGCTGAGATAGAGGAGAAGACCCCAACGAAGGTAGAGAACGGCGACGACGGCTTCATCACGGTGGGCAGCAAGCGGAAGTCACGGAACCGCCGCAGTAATCCCGAACAGGAGGTGGAAACCGAAGCACCCCAGGTTCCAGCAGTAGAAAGCACAGAGCCGGCTGCAAAGAGGAGTCGCAACAACGAGGCGGGCGGCGATAGCCTGCCCCAGGAAATATGCTCCCTGTCGGAGGACCAGTACAAACAGCTCTCGGCGGAGCTAAGGCGCCGCAAACGCCAGATCGAGGACGTTCCCGGCCTTCGACTGCGTGAGATGGGCCAGCGCGCCTCCCTGGAGACGCCCCAAGACGCACGCACGCCCATCTTCCTAACCGACATCCAGAACCTGCTAATGACGGCCCTCATTGGCCAGAAGAGCCCCTGCCGGCCGGATCGGTGGTGCAGCGTGGAGAAGTGGCTCAGCCTGTCGCACAGCGTGGTGGTCATACTGGAGGGACTGTCCCTCTACCACTACCTCTCCAACGAGAGCCAGTTCGAGGCCACAAACAGGATATTCAGCACCAAGCTGGAGATGCTTCTTCCACCGCAGGATGAGGGTCAGATCATCGACGAGATAGCCAAGGTATGACTCCGGTTAGGGTGTCCAAATGTGATCGAAGCTAAACATGTGCCTGGTTTTTACAGATTCCACTCACAAATGTGCAGGCCCGCAAGCTAATCGAAGAGCACGGTTCCCTGGAGTCGGCTGTGGAGCTGAACAAGGATCCCACTCTGTTCGTCAAGACCATCTTTCCCATCGCGAGTAAGACGCCGGTGGCGGATGACCTGCACGCGGACGACAAGTTCCCGCGCACCAAACTCCTGCTATCCGCCCTGCAAATGGTTGACGAGGGCTATCCAATTCCCATGCAGGGCGACTTGCACAGTCGCTTCCGGGAGTTCAAGTTCACCAAGAATTCATATGAGCCGGTGACCAATCGCAGTCCCATGTTCGGAGTGGATTGTGAGATGTGTCAGACGGCGGTGGGGTTCAACGAGCTGACCCGAATCTCCATTGTCAACGAAGAGTATAAGACGGTGTACGAGACGCTAGTGTTGCCCGACAACAGAATCACCAACTATCTGACCCAGTTCTCGGGCATCACTGAGGAAATCATGAGGAAGGTGACCAAAAAGCTGGATGAAGTGCAGCAGGAAGTTTCTGACCTGCTGCCCCCGGATGCCATCCTGGTGGGGCAGTCATTGAACTCGGATCTGAACGCCATGCGTATGATGCATCCGTATGTGATCGACACCAGTGTGTGCTTTAACATCTCCGGCGTGCGACGGCGCAAGAGCAAGCTTAAGCACCTGGCCGCGACCTTCCTGAAGGAGACGATTCAGGAGAACGACGAAGGCCACGACTCCATTGAGGATTCGCGAGCCACCCTGAAGCTGGTCAAGATGAAGCTGGCCAACAGCATTGAGTTCGGCGACGAGATCCTCACGCAGCAAAAGCGATTGCAAGAGCTGGCGAACGCCTCCAGCGGCGATACCATCAGTAATAACCTATTTGCCCATGTGGCCAAGCGGGATAAGCGGACGGCCATCGTCACGGTCGGAGATTTGCAGCCCCGACTCAAGGATGTTATTCTGAAGGCAGGAGAGGCAGCTCCCAAGGATCACAGCCTGGCGGTCCGTGTTCACGAAGTGTCCACGTCCAAGGAAGCCGTGCGCAAGGTTTCCGAAATTGCGCTGGAAAATGCCCTAACCATTGCAAATCTTCGCGTGCCGGAGCAGGACTTTGTGTTGGACAGCGCGGAGCGGAATGTGGCCAAACTGGACAAAACCATCGACCGGCTGTGGAACTCGGTGGCGCACAACGGACTCTTCCTCGTCCTCATGGGCGGATCCAAGGAGTGCACCAAGGGCGTGGCCAAGATAGCCATCAAGCGGCTGAACGGATCGGAACAGACGAGTGCTCCCATTGGCAGTTAGGAACCGAACGAGAACAAGTCTCCTGTTAATCACCTCGACCCGATTCCATCCGCCACTGCGCCACTCTAGGAAAACCCTTACGGCCAGTCGGAATCCCCAAGCGGAATCAAATTTGCCGTATCATCCCCAAAACATGACCAACTAATGTTTCACCTCACCTTAAAAAATTCACTACATGCAAAAGTGTACCAATAAATTGTCAAATTGAAAAAAAAAAAAATATTCTCCAACTGGAATAAAAAAATGTACATTTATTTTTTTTTACAAAAAAGTTATTGCATTTTATTGCTGAGAATTATATCCAAATATTTCTTTAAGACTTCAGAAAATATTAAATTTATTTAAAAGTCTGATTAATAATATGTTTACTGTTTTAATTGGTTTAGGACTGTCGAAGAATTCTTAAACATTTTTTGAAAGCGTACAAATAAAAGCAGGAATTGCAAATATTTTACATTAAAGTTCCATTATAAATCCTAAAGAATTTGACGAATAACGCAATTTAAAAATATTTTTGAACCTTAAACCGAAATAAGTATGTATTTTATTTATTTATTATTTGGATATTTCAAAATATTATTGAAAGCTAAAAATTATGTGGGCTAAAATGTAATTTATAAACGTTTGCTGAAAGGATAACTAATTTACGTCCCAATCGCCTCAAAGTTTTTTTCGTTCCCAAAAGCAATTACAAAATAACTATCCGATTTTCCCAACACATTTTCCGGATGAAGCATTCCAAACGGGCTGATGCGATTTGACCTAGTTTCGGTTAGTTTGCATTGCCCGATATTTGTTGTTGGTGCTCGCTGGCCAGGCGAGTGTGTTGATAACAGCCATAAATTTCCTACCTCCCTCAATATAGTGCTCCGTTGTCTAGGGCCCGAGCCCGAACGCGAAATGGGCCTCCCTAGAAGCCCACGCACTCTCGCTCTCCCTGGCTTTCCAATTTCCCTCTCTCCGAAAGGGAAAGGGAAAGTCCCCGTATCTGTGTCTTATCACACGCTCGAAAATGTTGCGTCTGTTGGCTGCTCATACGACCTGTGGGTCGTGCTCCGGCGCTCCATGCGCATGCGCATTGCGCACGTGTGTGTGAGTGTGTGTGTGTGTGCGCGCGAGGAAAAGCTGCTGAGAGTTTTCCCCTGGCCCGGTGGAAAGTTGCCAGACAGCTGGTGTTTTGCCATCAATTGCCAAACATTTCAAAAAACATATATTTTCTACAGGCCAAATATCCGTATTTCCAGGCGGAAGCAAAGCGCAAGCGAATAATCGACTACTCCGGAAGGACTATTGCTATATGGGGGCCATTTCTTGGACATGGATCAGAGCGGTGGCAACGCCAGCCCGGGAAATTCGGTATGTTTTCCTGCTGCCTGCCTGCTTGCTTGTTTTTTGCTTCATATTTTTGGCTTTGGCGCTCTTCGCACCAATTTTGTTGTATATACGCTTTTCGGCTCTCGAGCGGAGACGTTGTCGTTGTTGGCTGCCTTACCCAATTCCGTTTGGCACGAGGCGCGCAAAACGCTCGGTGCGGAAAGATATACGCGAGTCGGTGCTATTTAGCCAAAATATCTGTATATCCATGCTGGCGGAGAGTCTGGCGAGCGACCTCAAATTGGCATAAACAAATTGGCGTAAACAGAAATTCTCATCAAAGTCTTGCAACGGGCGGAAATCGACAAAGTTCATAGATATAACAAAAATATAAAAAATATTTGCAAATAAATTTCGAAATTTAAGGACTAGCTGTTCCAAAATGTATGCCATAAACTAGGGTAAGTCTTTGGCACCGTGTGTAATTAATCAAAAGAAAGAAATGATGTATACAAACGGAGGCGAGCAATTGGCCAACATAAATTGTGTATCCATAAAATACACAGACACTGGCGAATGAAAGCCTTTTCAAAGGAAAGTTATTCCGACAGTGTGTGTGAGTGAGTGTGTTTGTTGGTGTAATTATGTGTGTGGGTGAGTGGGAAAGTCGTTCACTGTGTCAGTGTTTCATTGTAACATCAGCTGGGCATCCATCGCGCATACGCCGCATTGTCAATTGTTACGAGCCCTCACGTCCATTTCCCAGCTTCGCCCTTGGCACCAACTGGTTGCCCCAACGAAGCCAGCAAACTCAGCACCCCCAATCCCTCCCCCCCAGAATCCCATCGTGCTCTTGATATTGGCTATTGGCCTATGCCAAACCCTATGCATTTAACAAAGGTCTCTTCGGCCCCAAAACTTGTTCTTTCTTTTGTCAGCAATTGCAAATTTGTTCCAACTGTTTGCTGTTGCCCTTCGCCGCTGCTCCAGTTTCATTCAGCCCACCTCCGCCCCTTTGCTTTCCCCGCCGAACATGGAACATGTTGCGTAGGGTTTTTCCTTCTCTGTCCCCACCTCCAGCGAATTTCCTGCGTGTCGAGGGTGAGTTTCTCGCTTTTTTCGACTTTTCCGTTTTCATGTTTTGTTTGCATTTCGGGAGGCGTCGCTTTTGTTCGCTTCAGGTTCTGCCAAGTGGCAAGCCAAGTTTGTGTCCTCTAAAATTGGATTTTCAATGAAAGCAAAAGGAAATTGAATTTGTCCCCTTTGGTTTGCCTATTTTAATTTTAAAATTTGGTTTTTACTCATTAAATTTAATTTTAAATTCTTATAATATTTTGCTTTCTGGAAAGTCCCTGTTCAACATTTTATTTTATATAGTAATTTTGTGCTTTCCATAGATTATAAGTTGGGACTTCCCTATTTATTTTTTAAAAAATCTACAATGTTTATATTTAAACTTCTCTTATCAGAGATTACTCTTAGTGTTTGTTGATTAAAATACCTGGTTTTACTTCGATTATAAAAAACATAAATAAATATTTATTTTTAAACCACTACTCATAAATAAGTGTTTAATTTTACATCAGTTGCCTTTCTTTTATCAAAGACTAAACTTTGTGCTTGCTCTGTTGTTCTACTTTAACTATACACGTTTTTTATCGATAATATTCTTAGGTAATTTTTTTTTACAAACTTAACACAATTTTATGTAAAACAAACATGTCTCTTTATTTAAATATAGCTTAAGTCTGTAGGATAGAGTTTTTAATTCCTGTGTAGGTAATTGTTTTGATGCTATTCCTCACCTTTCCCTGGATCAATTTTAATACTTCGATGCCAATTGGTTCATTTGGCACGTAGCCAAAGCAATAGACAGCAATATTGTCTGATTTTCAGCTCGTCATTTTTGTCTCGTCGAATTGTATTCCATTGCTGGATCGCAGGGGATGGATGAGTAATGCAGTTTTCCCGGGCCAAGACCAAATAACAAAATTCCGTTCTTGTTGTGTTCGTTTCACGGCATTCACTGTGCCAGCAATCAAATCAAATGATGTCATTTTCCTGTTGTGAAATGCTGTCCTGTCCGGCGGTGTCCATAACATATAGAAAACAGGCCCCCGCCCACGAATGAGTCAGTCGGAGTCACGGATTGGAGGTGCCACAGTGCCGCAGTCCGTAGCAAATTCAATTACGCATCCGCACCACTGCAGTTAATGGGCTTCAAGTGGGAAGTTCAAGATACAAATCGCATTTGTTACAGTCTAAAATTGCGCATTGCTTGCTGAATTTTCAGTTCGATTTTCATAACAAATGCTGATAATGTAATTAAACTTTAGTTTTATTTGAACTTTTTAGCTGAATGAGAAGCGTGTGCAGGCCGAACAAAAGGTTCTTTAATTTGACCTTAAAATATTTGTATCATTGCTGTTTAATTTAGAGAGTTCACTAACCCTGATAAGGTGTTAAACATCTGTATATTCCTTGAGCAAAACCTATGATCTAAAGATTATCAAAGCATAAAACAAGCACCAAAAATTTTCAATTTCTTTTTGTATTTTATTTATTGTAAATAATCTAAATTAAAATGGATTCAGTTGTTTAACGAACTTGTATTATGCCTTTGCGATTTGGGCTTTGCCTTTGGTGGTGTTTCATAATCTCGCTGTACTTGTACACTTTGGCTCTCTGTTTATGGGCTAATTTTATTAAACCACCTCATTAGGAGCGTATAAATAGCGGAGCCATCGCACTGGCTGCGAACTTTTCCTGATCCGCCAAGGAATGTGGCAAGTGTTTTATTTTTGAACTGTGCGGCAATTGCAGGTAGAGTTTGCTGCTGGTCAGGAAGCGAATTGGACCGGCATAAGATGGGTTGGGTTGGCTTCGATTTCCGTTTCGGGGCTCCAATGCTTTCCCATGGAATTCTTTTCGGCTATTTTGGCTCGTTCGATTGTTTGTTTTGAAGTACGCATATTCCGTGCTGTTTACCGGCAACCAACAATGTGAGTAATTATGTTAAATTCAACTAATTAAACATTTTCGCCTCCCGCCTGTTCGGGTAAATATCGATTCTGCTCCACTTTGTTGATGCTGCTAATTAAATTTTCCCTTATGAATGCAAATATTTGATTTGGGCCGGCGATCGTAAACGGGTTTTAGCGATCCGATGATCGAGTTGATGTTGGGGAAATTGTGTACAGTGGGCCCTGTTGTCAGCGACACTCCACCAGTGTCAAGGTCGTCCGTGAGGCGAGGTTCATGTGCTAACTGTTAACAGTTTTTCCTGTTGTTCTGGGCGTTTTCGTATGTTTTTTTCTCATCCGAAGCTTCCGCTTTACATGGGGACTCATTAGCAGTCTTCGCTGCTCCAGCAGCCCCACACAATATATGAACATATGTAAACATTAAAGTGGCCTATGCCTTGGCAAGGGGAGGTCGAGAAGTTCGGGGTTTTGTAATTTGCCACTGTGGCTATGTTTTATTCGAATTATCTTCTGCAGAAATAATTCATTTATTATTACACCTCAATTTTGTAGTCTATAGCCTTTGGTTTAGTTTGTAATTCAGAACAATGCTGAATTGGATATAATATTAATTTGAAATGAAATTAAGTATTGATTGGGCAAGCTTAATTTTTAACAAAAAGTTTTTTAAGCACAAACTTTGCTGTAGAAAGTATTTTTCAAGTCTGTAAGTCCATGATAGCTTGTCTACAAGTGGAAAGGCTCTTTAAGTATTAATGTCTATAAATAAAAATCGATAAAAACGCTAGTAAATACCATCCAACCATTTTTATCTAATCGTGATGGCTCTGGCCAGCTGGCTTCCCCAACTTCTGTGGCAACCCTCGCTGGCTGCATAAATACTTGTGCACACACAAACAAACTCGAGCAGCTTTGCAGCTTTGTCCTGGCCTTGGCCGCTGATAATAACTATTCTGCTGAGCCTTGCTGTACTGCCTTTGTTGCTATTATTACGCCCACTCATGTGTGTGGGCATGTACTTTTTATTCTCGCTGGTGTATTTGCATTGCTTATCAATAAGGCGAATTTCGTGCGTACACAAAGCGCCTGCGACAATTACAGTTGTCAAATATGACACTCCCACAACGCCACCCACTCCAAAATCCTCCACCCACACACAATCGCCGCGCTAATTGGTTCAGCCAATAGTGAAATCTTCTCCAGCTGCTGGTGCTCCCTTTAACTCCGATGTTTGCCTCTTTTGGCACTCAAATTGATTTATTTGCTTGCCAGTTTGTCCACCAAATTGAGTTGATAATTCGAGTTATGAATGATTCTTAGGGCTGCAAAGCAAAGAACTTCAGCTCATTTCCGCTCGGCCTGTATTTCGAATGCTTCCCTAAGGTTTTTGCAACTTCAAAGTTCTGTTAAATGCGGGCAGACTTCCCTTTTGTCAATTCGGAAAGCCTCTTAAGAATACTTTGAGTCGTAAAGATACACCAAAGCATTAGTCTGAATACAAAACATAAAATGGAAATATATATTAATAAAAATATTTTATTTTTATGATTTACAGAATAATGGAATTTTTTGTAGAACCATAAAAGACCTCACTAACACTAAATATCAGAAACTTAACGAAAGTCTCGCATTTTAACGATTAAGAACTATTTTTTATGTACGCTGCCTCACATTGCTTAAAAAATTATTTATTTTTGTTCCTAACAACTTTAATCGATAAAAACAAATAAGTAACTATATCATTTCTGTGCACTTTTAAAAATCTACGTCTCGTTCCATATTGTTTTACGAATGGGATATGAAATATATTAATTGTTTTAACACTAAATAGATATTTTCTCTGAATTTTTAAAGTTCTCCCACCTTGTTCTATATTGTTTTATGAATGGGATATAAAATATACATATATATTTCCCCTCGATCATGACGCATTCCGCCGAAGAACCCCAAGCGTTGCTGCCTCAGCCGCTGCCTCGGTCGACGTCGCAGTTTGCGAATGGGATTGAATGGCAGTCGATTTTTCAAACTCATAGTGTTCGGTTCGAAATCGTGCGAGAATACAGAACTGAATGTCCACCTTGGGACAACCAATTAGTGTGTGACTTACAATATTGGAAATTAAATCAAAATTTGATCGTCAAATTATAAATCAAAAGGTTCCAACACATCGCAGACAGGGGCAAGTCGAAGTAGATCGCTTGATTGATGGAACGGGCCATGGACCGATAAGCAGAAATAACAAAAAGTGTAAGAAGTGCATGATATAAATGATAATTTGCGATAGTGAATCAAATGACATGTGCGCTGTAAAGTTCAAGAACGAGCTTGGACAAGGTCTGGGTCCTAATTTGATTTCTGCCATGGAAACACCCCAATCACGCCCTCGACAATATATAGAGGTTATATAGAGCAGGCTGATAAACAAAAGGAAATCGACCAGTGACTCCATTCCCAAGTGCTAATTCGACGCCTGTGCTGTACATAAAACCCATCTCCCAATGTGGTTGCTGTGCAGATGATAAAGCCTCATGTAGAGCGATGAACAGCCATAAATTTATTTGCATACGATAATTTATTTATTGCACTATCAGACTATCACAAGTCGTCACAGTTTCCCTGGGGTAAATATTTGAGTATCAGGCGTTACGGTTCCCTCTCGAAAGAAACGAACTACGGCCGCAGAGTCGTCAACACTTGAAGCCCGATTCCGACTTCCTTACAACTGTTCAAACATCGCCATATAATTTATATTATTTATAACACTCTCCACACACTCTTTTCATGTGCTGTGGCACCGCTGCGAATTTGCTCGCAATCTCTCTGTGCCACAATTAATTTTGTTTGCATTGTACTTAAAGCAAAAGCAAGAACAGGAACTATAAATCAAACTCTCTAAATGAACAAAGGTTTTAGTTCATAATGTTTTTCTCTGAAATACGCTTAAACATAAGTGTTTACTTTTAAAGAAACGGCATTTCTTTGTGTACTAAGAATTATACTTAAAATTGTAATCTAATCGAGAATGTGGCTATAATGACAATTTATATTTTAATTAATTATAAGTTAGGTCATTAAATTTATATATAATATAAAGAGCACTTTTCGCGAAACACATTAAAATTGTTTAAATTTTTAATCAAATGCTCATATTTCTTTTCTAACAAAAATCATTAAAACACAATAGGAAACGGTAGTGTAATAAATTTAATATATTAATTAGATTCTCTTTAAAATTCTTTATAATAATTGCTAAATTTATCTGTTGTTTTTAAAATTGTATAGCGATTTATTTGTATAAATAATTTTACTGCTGGAAATTTTTTAAGTTTTGTGAACTATAATATCTACTTTATTGGCCATAAAAATGGCAATCTTATCATTCCTAACTGCCCCTAACTGCTTCCTATTTCGATGGTTCTCGTGACCTAGTCTTGGAAAATATTGCTTAAGTTATAGGAGTGAAATATTTTATATAATTTTCAATCCAATGCAATACATACTAACAGCTACAGCTAATTTAGTGTTCATATCTTAATGGCCATATTCTTCAACTAATTTTCTGGCATTCAAATTTAAATAAAAGTGGCTTTAAGGACTTAACTTACTTATCTAGCAACAACTTATATTTAAATAAATTGGCTCTTAAGACTTAACTAAATTAAAATAAACGAAATTAAATAGGCGTACAAAATTATTGAATAGTTGTCAATTTGATTTTGTGCAGCTTATGTGGCCTGTGTGTTGCCTTATAATATATATCAACCTAAGTACCTAACTATTCCTTTGGTTCGATACTCTCAACTGTCCCTATCATTGGCTGGTATTTTTAGGGGGAATTAAGACATCACGCGCGGAATTTGGCTGTCGAATAGGTAGCAGTGCACCCGTTTTCGATACGGGACATGATTTATAGCTATAGTATGATGGATTGCAGCCGAGTTGGCGGCAATCAAACGATTAGAACATATGCTAACCTAAACGGCCCCCAGAAATTGAACGAAATTGGTTTGGGGCTCGGCTGGTTAGCTAATTAGTCGGCATGTACTTTCAGATAGTACGCCTAATTTATTGTCGAGTGCGAAAATCAGCGATTAAAGGCTGTTAGGAACACTAAACGATTTATGTTTTGAAGTGTGCCAATTGACTGATAAGCGGGCCAATGAATCAATCAGTCAGGAGGGAAAGTACTTACAACGCTCATTAAAAACACGTATAGATTTCCAAGCGTGGCGAAATCGGCGTGACTAACTGGCCATCGTAAGGGGTCGTAAATATTATCCATCGACTGGCCAAGATAAACAATGTAGTTCCCTCGGGAAACTTGCGAATCGACCCTATTCTTCAAGCTCTTTAAATTAGAGCCACAGTGAGCTTTAGGACTTGAAATGATAACGTTGTTTAGTCCTGAAGACTTATTGCGTTTTAAATTTGAAAATAAATTGTAATAAGTTACAAAAATCTTTACTAAATCTGATTAATATAAAACGATTAAGAAGGTATGATTTACTTGTGTAAAGTCGTTTCTAATACTTCTCATTATTGCAATTATAATAATTTAATTTAAATTTAAAATAATAGGCTTGATGGTTTATTATTTGGCCATATTTTTGTTATACCATTTTCTTGAAATTTAAAGAAATTTTAAAACACTAACGATATTTTACCTTCAGTTTCGAAAACACTTTTAAACCCAAACTTGTTTTTCTACTTTCAGTTCTCCAACAAATTCACTGCCTTCCACGACAGGGACAGCCTAACACCTCGTCCCGGCAACAAATTCCGCCAGCGACGCATCCGCAGCCATTTGGAGGAGCAGCTCACCCCGGAGAAGCGCATCGCCAAGTTCCCGCTGGTGGGAGCCCTGGTCCACAAAGCACTACGTCGTCGGGAGAGGGAAAAGGATATTCCAGATCCTAAAGACAACAACAATAACAACAACAACACCGAGGATAGGGAGCCGGAAAGGATGGTGCTACCGTTCGGACTTGGGCCCGATGGCCACCACGTGGATGCCATTCAGAGTGCTCCGGCGCCCAGTGCCCCGCCCGCCCACATGATGCCACCAGCCTATTCGCGCGGCCAGACAAACATCTACACAGGCGTGCCGATCATCGTCAATCCCTACATTGACTTCATCGTGGTCAACGGGGACGACCGGTACATGATCAGGTGCGAGCGCAAATCGGTGCTCGAGCGGAGCGTGGAGCTGGCCAAGCTGATTCACGCCGGTCCGAACAGCGGTCGGAAGAGCGACAACCACTTCCAGATACTCAACGTGGACAAGAACGACTTCGAGCTGATCGTCCGCTACATGGAGAAACACTTCATCCCCTATCGCGATCACAAGCACCTGCTCAAGATACTCGAGCTATCCGATCGCTTTAACGTTCCAGATTTGGTGAGTAATAGCTATACTATCTACGAGAGATACAATAAAATAAGTCATATTTATTTGTAAGCCTATGACTTCTTGATTCAGATACATTAAATACATTTTTTTAACCAAGACTAACAAGCACAATTCAAAGATTTAAACATATAAAATTGTATCTCCGTTTACTTTATTAAATATATGCCTTATGAAAAATCTAGATAATTTACTATACTAACAATCTTTATAACAGAACTAAAGTGTTTGTCTATAATAACATTTTTAAGACTACGAATAATTTTACTTGCAATAATATTGACTTACTCTGACGTAACGTATATCTAATACCTTTTAAAATTAACAAGTTCTTAGCATTAAAAGTATTTTATTGGTGTAAAAATGATTGATTTAATCCTTTTCGATATTCCAGATTATCTACTGCATTAGGGAGCTTGATCTCAGAATCTCAAGTGCCACCGCGCTGGACATCTTCAAGGCGCTGTGGTTCTATCAGGGTATCGCGCTGACCAACCAGCACCAGACGGTGATCACCACCCAGGAGACGGGCCAGCAGCTGGCCAGGAAGAAGGCGACCAAGGCAAAGGCGGCGGCCAAGCAGTTGGCGGCCGCCAAGACCGCCCAGTCCACCGAAAACGGAGCCGAGGGCGATGGCGCCCAGCTGAACCTCATTCCGAACCCGAATCCCTTCACCACCGAGGACTACGGCGTGGCCCTGTTGCACAACACGCTGCAGCTGATCGACATGCACGCGGAGCTGCAGCTATCGATGCCCGAGATCTGCGATCTGCGATTCGAGGAGCTGGAAACGCTGGCCAAGCGGGATACGCTGCAGCTCAGGTCGGAGGTCACACTGTTCGAGTGCCTGGCCACGTGGAGTTTGGCGGAGTGCGCCCGCAAGCAAATCGATGCCACGCCGGAGAACCGGCGAACGGTCCTGGGACCTCTCTGCCTAACGCCCCGGTATCTGCGGATGACCCCCAGCGAGTTCCGACGCTGCTGCGATCGCCTAGAGCTACTGCCTCCCACAGAGATATCACTCATCAGCGACGCCCTCGACGGTGAGTCACCTAATAAAATAGTTGTGGTACAGTTTTATCTGTTGCAGTTCACTGAACCACACAGCAAGATTTAACTACATCGCTCAGCGCGATAAAATGCATTGCGTAAATCGTTTATTTATGAGGTGAAAAAGTCGTAATAGTTGCTACTTAATATACAAAATGTGTAATATCAAATTTTCTGACAATTACATTAAACTAAACAGAAACTGGATTTAAAAAAAGTCATGTAAGGATATTTAAAGAGCTTGAAAACATTTGTCGAGCAATACGGAATTGACTCTGATGGATATATCGTAACAGACTACTGCCTTGATCTTGTTAAATTTTAATAGATTAGATTTCAGTTATTAAATTTAATTTCTTTAGAAAAAACCCACTAGAATTGTAATTACTCATTTTAAAGATCATATTATAAAACGCATATCTTAATCAGTTTGTTTTTAAATAATCTGTTTTATATAAAGCTTTATTTTTTTCAGACGAACTGATTTTCTAACGTTCTCTTAAATTTGAGCTATGTAAATTAATTAAGTTTTTCAATCCATTCAGCTATCAGGAAATGCCAACTTTATTTATAAGTTATTCATTTTTATAACGATTTTGTTAAAATTAAACATCGTATTATTCATTATCATTATCTTATTAATTGTAACGTTGTACTACTGTTATTTAATCCGATAACATCGGATTTATTTTATTTAATATCTACACCCTTTTAAACTCGTTTTGACTTTGTAGTTTATAACATATTTTTTCTTGTTGCAGGCAAAAAGCTAAAGAACCTCACCGATCAGCAGGCGGAGCTGCTGGAGAAGTTCCGCCAGCCCCGCGCGGAGTACGCCAGGATGCCCGTGCACCTCAGCGATCGGAGCAGTCCGAAGAACTATCCCAAGAAGATGAGGTTGGCCCACGACGGTCGACCCACGGAGGAGGGTTGCTGGGAGAAGGTGGGCATGAACTGTCTGCGCATCTTCGTCTGCATATTCGACTGATCCGAGCAGTCTGATGGAGAGGAGGAGGATGAGGATGAGGACGAGGAAGAGGAGGAGGAGGCGGAGGATGACGAAGACGCCGAGGAAGACGAGGAGGGAGGTGAAGGATTCGGAAACGTTGGAGGCGGAGGTCACAGTCGCCACGGCAACGTCGGAGGATGAGATGACGATCCCACATAGACTTGTTGAATTAAACGAATATTAGCGCTTATGAATTACTTATACATAGAGTTAACGATTACGTTACGTCTTATGGGGACAAGTAATGGCCACTACTGTGGCAGTGATTTTATAGCAGCCGTTTCTAACAATACTATATAGTGTTATTTATATACACGCAGATATATGCGATGTGTGTGGGTTGAACTGTCGCCTGCAGATCGATTGGGTTTTTGTATTTACTCGCTAGTCAAATGGAAACAATGGAAATACCAAAACTTTTATACAACTTTATGCAACGTTTTGTAGCTGGACTCAAAATACAAACAAAACATAACATAACAAAAACAACTAAATACCAAATTTAGGACATTATTGCATACTGCTAGGGATATCTCACACACACAAAGTACATCAAGTTAATCAACACACAAAAATTAAAGTGCAAATCGTATTTGGGCCCGGCCATAGCTAAAATCATTATTATTAATTGTTTACTATACTTTTAACTGTTGTGCAATTGTCGACAAATGGAATTTATATATACACTCACGAGCATTCATACGATACACACATATACTATATATACATATATAGTGAGAAATGCGTTGAAATCAGAACTATGTTGCCGTTACTCGGTTCTTGGCTTTAACTCCTATAACGAAGTGCTATAGCTAAATCGCATAAATAACAATAACAATCAGATTAGCATTAATCATAGCGAATTACTTATGTAAGCACACCAGCAAAGCGCATAGCAAACACACAAATTGTTAACAGATTTATGCATTTTATTAGTTAAAGTTTAGAACAAAGAACGCCTCGAATTGTTTTCGCCTATGTTGCCACACGTTTTCTAGGCTGAAAAAGCGAAATTCCAGTGCGAAATATCAATGAAGCAAAGCATCAACCACAAAACAAGAAATACATTCAACAAAAAGTAGTTAAACAAATAATAAAGATGTACACCATTTTTTAAAATACTTTATTGTCGTTATTAGTGGGTTGGTGAATTTTGGGGGAAGCGGTAAGTAAAAAGTTCTTAGCAAAACTACTAATAGAATAGGCAGAATTGAAAGATAAAATTATGCCTATGTATACTTAAAATTTTTTAACGTGTGTTATTTGTAAAAACTGTGAGTGCTGGAAAAATAGTAACATTCTATGTTTTTTACTTTAGATATATTGAGATTGGATGGTCGGAAACGCTTCCTTCTATCTGTTACATACTTTTAACGAATACAGTAAAACTCTTTACTCAACGAGTAACTGGTATAAAACTTAAAAATGTTTTCAGAATAAGACAAAGTTAATACAATATACGATTATTAAACGCAAAGCATAGTTAAGCAATATTAAAATAAATAGTAATTTTTATTTAAAAAGCTTGTCGAGGGTTAACCTGGTGACGAAAGACAACTAAAAGCTCAAAAAAGGTTCGAGCAAAAATAAGTATTGGTTACAGTTATCCAAGTTTCAAACCAAATGAAAGTTCAGTAAACAAAGACAATTTTAAAAAGAGTGTTATACATTTCGAATAGTTTCCAGTTTTTTTAGTGACGAATGGGTAAAAAAAATCAAATCTATTACAGGACTTAACATAAATGGAACACATCGTATCCCTTCCCTCAAGAATTTTGTGTTGTTAATTCAACTTTTCCTAAATACACTCATATCATCCCATCTCATGACCATCTTTCACTTTTGCTCATTGTAACCCTCATCAACTTCATCAGCATTCCTACCCTTCCTAGCTTTTCTGACAACTCCTCATCGCCGGCTTAGCTGACCAAGTCTAGACCCTGGACAGGACTTCACTGGCGGAAAATCCTTGCCAAACCACACACACACATACTGGCACTTTCGCCAAGTATAACATTATCATTGTATGCATTTGGGGGCTTACCGCAAATGCACTCACCCGAGTCCAATCCCAATCCCAATCCCGATCCCCCTCCTAGCTCTAAGTTTTCCTCCAACTCTCCATCTCGTTCGCATGTGCATACAAATGCCGTATAATAACAACACAAGCTCGCTGTGGAAACTTGCATTTTTCACTCCCCCGCTGGAAAATTTATGATTTTATTTCACGCTTGCTTTTCATTAACATTCCTCTTTGGCTCAGACTCTTTTTCAGCCATTTTTATGGCTTCTGTATGGTGGCCAAAAAATTATAAGTTCTTTTTGTTGCTGGGGGGTATTTCCCCGGACTTGCTGCTGGCCTGTCTGACGCTTGTTAACCTTTAGCCAGTCGCGTTTTCCTTTGGCGTTTTTTTCCGCTTGCATCTCGCTTGCCACTAATTTTGCGCACAGACGATGACAGAGGCCCTGGGGGCGGTAAACTAGGGGCGCGTGTCCGCGCTGCTGAGGGAAATCTCCGCAAAAGTTATGCAGCAGGAACATGGAACATGTAGCAGTGCCACAAATTTTCTATGATTTTTTTTCCAGCATCTGCCAGGAAAAAATGCTGCACTGCCCGCAGCCAGTCGGAGGCCTTTTGGCAGAGACTGTGCTGACCGCACATATAATTATTTCATATATGAAACATGAGTGGGGCATGTACAGCTACATTCACGTCCACATGCACCCAAAATTCTCAAGGCATTTTTCGCATATTTTTTCACAGAAATCAGCAAAAGTGAATTAGTGCAGAGCTGGGGATACAAAAATGTGGGAAATGCGGGAAAGGGGCCAACCTGCATTGCAGTTGGCCACCTAATGAAAATTGTTGTGAAATAAATCATTTTAAATAAATTTCACTCTCCCTGTCTACCCGCCTCACTTGTGCATGTGTGTGTGCTGGCTTTGGCTTGCCAAAGTTTTAAATGAAATGAAAGCCAAGTAGCTGCAATGGACTTTGCACTTTGCCTGTTACTTCAGCCGTGCCTAACTTTTTTGCAGCTTGCTAAATTGCGCTAACTGACCAAAGCGGAAGTTTCAATTACACCTACACCAGCACACACTCACACACACACACATGGTCAGATTCACACACCCACACATTCGCCTGTGGCAATGGCTCTCGTTTTGGTCCAACAGCATTGACCTACACGGCGTATGCGTGTGCTGATATGACGCATACGCCCCATGGGCCACCGAACTCTCCCCCAAAACAGCCAAGGCCACAAATCTGTGTTAGACCCGCAAAACTGCTGCACTTTGGGAGCGGAAGGGGTAGGTGGGGGGGTGGGGGGGACCACCAAATTATAGCCTAAAGTTGGAACATTACTTGCAGCAACTGACATTTTTTGTATACCTTGTAGTTAATACCCCTTAATTATTCAGTTAGAGCTGGGAATTTTGCGGCTTTTGATGTACTGCTGAAGTTTTTATTAAAGTCGACTCGAAATGAATAACTTTTTACTATCACTTTAAGTTTTAACTTGATTTTTGCTTGTTTCTGTGTGAATGTTGTTAAAATTTAAATTAAATATTTATTTAGTATGCTGTTTCTTGTATGCGTTTTATTTAATTATAAAGCCAATTTTTTTGTTGACTAAATATTTTCTTATTTAATATTTATTGTCAAAAAAACAAAGATATATCTAAAATAAGTTTCAACGAAACCACTTTAAATTAATTATCCTTTATCTCAGTAAAACTGCAGCAACATATAAATGCTATTCAGTAAACTTGGAAAGCTAATTGAATTTGGTTTTTAATGCCAATGTGTTTGCCAATGTGTTTGCCAATGTGTTTGCTATTTTCATGAAATATTGATTAGCTTGCATAACAAAGCTAAAGAAAATTATTTGAACTGTAAAGCTTTTAAACCATTTAACTTAAATGAATCAGGATAAGCTTCTTGGTGAAAATCTGAGGCACATAAAATGTTTCGTTTAACAATGATTGTTTGCTTTTTTTTAAGAGTTTGGTGACGTCTTTAGGGTATAAAATAATTTCAAACTCTTCAGCATTTATGTTTTGGCCTTAGCTACCCAATGCTGACTTTCTACCACTTTCTGTGGACCCTAAGGGTACTGTAAAGTCCGCCAAAGTGCCGTCAGGTCTAGTTGGCAGGACCTACAACGGAGTGAACCTAAAACGGATATTACTTTATCAAGCGGCATAAAAAATGAGCCAGCGAAGATGCGAAGGGGCAGCCGAAAAAAAAAGAACGGAAGCAATCAGCGAAATTTATTGTAGAGTCTCCTTTTTGGCGTAACTGATGAAGTGAGAAACTGAAAGACAGTCGAGGCCAACTCGCGGCAGCCAATACAAATGGGGTTGGGCGGTACGGAAGCGACAGCTGCTGTTAAGCAGGAGTTCCTCCCACAAAACCTCCTCATCTTAGGGCCACCCACACCATCGGTTTGACTTGGATTCGCAGTCGCGGCGTGCTGCTTTTTATTGCTTTCTTTCTGTGCTTTTAGCGAAGGCAAACGCCTAAATATAAAACCAGTTGGGAGTCTACTTATATACCGCTTACAACGACACCGACAGGGACGCACACACACACAGGCAGAAATACCCACACAGCCACAGCGATTTGAATGCAAATGTTGCAGCCGGAAATGAAACCGACAATGCCACTTATTTATCTTTGTACTTGCGGCTTTGATTTTGTTGCGGCTTTAAGCGGCCTGTTTTTGCGATTTAATTAAACGCTTTAACTCTGTTGACTTAGGCAGCCGCATAAATTGTGATTCATAATTAAATAGCCAGGACACACAAAAAGGGCAATTAAAATTCATAGACGTTTGCATTAAATAATTGCACGACAGCAAGTTTGTTTTTGAGCTTATTAAATACAAAAAAAGGAAATCACTCCAAAGGCGTTTTTTCCGCGAGCCTTCCATTATCCCCGGGAGTCGTGAAAATCGCAAGTCATAAATGTTAAAATGCTGCCATCCAAAGTGGAGGAAATGGAAGCAATGGAAGCCGAACAGCAAAATACCCATAATGCAGCCAAGGGAAAAGGGGAAATAAAATCGGAAATAGGAGAAAAAATATTCATTGATTTTCTTAATTAAAAAATTTCACCATTAACTTTTATGTTTATCGACTTGGCCCCTAATCGCAGTTTGCCGTATAACTGAAAGGTTAAGTCAGGAGTTGTTGGCATTGTCCTGCTTTCGCTTCTCCACGAGCTTTCTACTAGCATTTCCTGTGCGCATTATAAACTAATTACAGATTATGATGAAATCGTACGCCACGATAAGTCGACAATATGGGGCGCAGCTATGACTAGAGATGGCAAAATAAGTCAATATTTATATTGAAAATTCAATTTTAATTTCACTATTGAAATGTAAAATTTTTTAATGTTTTTTTTTTAACATTTTTTCTTTCCT